AGTACTGGCCAAACAAAACACATGTACAGGTCACAATCAGCCCAAGTGCCATCAGTGAGTGACCTCTGACCTACACTCTCCTGGGCCCAGAGAGAGGCCAATGGCACCCTCAAAGCTAAGCAGGCTGACCCACTGAACACCCAACCCATCCCTGTAAGACACCTCAGAGCTGAGAGCTTGCCCAGTCCAGGCAAGAGGGAAAAGGCCAGCTGTCCATGGCCCCCTCCTCCCCAACTCAGAGGTGGCCTTGTCCCCCAGCTCTCATCACAGGTCACACTGAAAAGCAGGCACTCGCAGCCCAGGCCCAGTGTGAGCCTCCTGCCCCCACAGTTCCCAGAGGTGCTGCCAACCCAGTGCCAGGAGTTCAGGCTTTCCCAGGCAGCTCAGGGTAGTATAGTATAAAGAATGACGAATGGGAATCAGAGGCCTTCAGCTTAAACCCTGGCTCTTCCACCAAGGCAGCTGGGCCAGTGGGGGTTTCCAAACCTGAAGCCGGCACCCTTTATCCAGATGGTTCTCACATAGGCTAGACAGCCCCCTAGGGGACAGTTTTGGTTGTCTCCATGTTGGGGGGCCGCTAGTGGTTGGGGGATAAGAACACAAGTTATCCTCTAATGCACAGGACAGTCTCACGTACTGTCCCAAATCCCATACAACTTAATTCATGCAGGTGAAAAATGTGTTTGTAATCATAGGAACCTAGAACTGAATTCCATTTTACAGGAACAAGAAAGTCGTTTTGCAGGTTTAATACACACCGATTTTTCTTTGAATGGAATGACTGTGTAAACTGAGGGGAAACGGGCCTTTGCTTTGCTCAGAACTTAGCAAAAGTTGTTCACTATTCAAAAATACGTCACTGAATGCAACCCATCCTTATTATTTCAAAGCTCTCCTCTCAGTCAGCACTTGTAGATGCTGCCTCTATGAGGTCTTCGTTCTGACTATTTCATTATGTCACAGAGTACTGACATATTAGAGCCCAGGGAACGGTAAAATTACTTTCCTTTTATTTCTCCATTATATTACAGGTGGCATTATGTTGACTGACAATACACACACATACACAGTAAATAAATTGTATTTCTATTAATTTTACTTAAGAATAATAAAACTAACTAACACTTCAACTACCCTTACTACATGCTGGGCACAGTTCTAAGCATGGAGCTGTTTTAACTCATCCTCACCAAAACCATCTGCTACAGACAAGCGGGTGTGTGGGCTTAAGACGGCAGGGCACCACTGCTTTCCAGAAGAAAGCCTCAAATCAAAGGTGCGCTGTGACTTACCATGGCCCAGCAGGGTGGGGCAGGGCCAGCATTTCCACCATTAGGACCCTACCCTGTTCCCGGAGCAAAGTGATCCCACCCCGACATGGCTCAGCCCCCAGATGGAGCTTGCCACCAGGGTAAGCGGTCTGAAGGTCCCCTCCTCTTCTTTCCCAGACCCCAAGTTCAGGGCTCCAGGCTCCCCATTCCTACCGTCCTCTGGGGCAGGAGGCAGCTGCTCCTGAGAACAGCTCAAAGCCATGCCCTGGTTGTCAGGGCTGAGGAAGCCCCTGAGGCCCCTCGCCTGAAAAGCACAGTCCGGCCTGTTCCTTTTCCTTGAAACAGCAGCTAACAAATCTCTCTTCCCTGCTCCCCAACCCTAGGCAACAGGGCTGCTCTGCGTGGGGCGTGTGTGGGAAGACTGAGAACACTGGTGAGAAGCACACAGGGTCCCAGTCCTGTCTCTACCACCAAGTCCAGGAATGACCCTGGATAAGTCCCTGCCGCACCCTAACTGCCCACTCCAGCCCAAGTTTCTTTGTGAGTCCAGAGCACAGCTGCAGCTTCCCGCTGCTCGGTCACTAGTTCTGCATGGGCCTAGGCCTGGGCCCAGCTCAGCCCAGTCTGCACACCTGTGTCTGACACATGTAGCTCTCGCGGCTGCACGCACACTCCCTGCACGCTCTTTCCTAACACCAGCCACCAAGAAGGCGGCAGCAGCAGCAGCAGCAGCAGCAGCAGGAGGAGGGAAGAGGCGGCTAGGCCCAGACCCCTCCCCCACTGTCAAACCCTCCCTGGAGGTGTCCCTCAGCCCTTCCCAGTCCTGCTCGCCGCCCCTCAGTGAAAAGCTGGCTCTGAGATGCTGATCCAGTCCCCAGTCAGTCTGCCCCAGCCCCCAGCCCGCCCCCCACTCACTGTGTACAGTCTTCGCCGTAGTCTGGCCAGGAGAGGGAAGGAGAGCTCTAGGCCAGGGAACCGACGAGCTGCTGGCATCTCCACGGAGCTGGACCCCCTGATTGGGTCACTGGGACTCTGGCCTGAGAAGTGGGGGAGGAGGGACCTCACCTCCTGAATCTCAGGTTCTGCCCAGAAAGGAAGTTGGCCAGAGGTCTGTCTGCCCCAGAAGTCCCCAAAATCTCACACCAGGGGTGGGAAATGGGGCAGAAGAATAGGGTGCCCCACTTTTCTCTGCTGCACAGCGGTTTCTACAGCTGGCCAGTCTGGCGTGGAGCAGGTTCCCTCTTCTCTCAGCTAGCTGCAGCCTGGGTCCTCTGTGCTGCTTCTCTGTCTTCTCTCCAGTGCAGTGGTCACAGCTCCAGCCCTACTCCCCGGCTCCCCCACCCGACTGCCCTCCCTCTCTCCCTCCCTCTCCAGCTGAGCAGCTCTGACACTGGCTGAAAAAGGACCTTTCTGAATCACTGCCAAGAGGGCGGCGGGAATGGGGGGACTCTTCCTCCCAGCCACCCGTGCTGGCCCCCCTGCCTCCCCATACACAAGGCCCCCTGTCTCTGGCTTCCACCCCAGCCCCCAGTTGCAGACAACTCTTGGGATTTTAGGGTGGGGGCTATGTGAATCAAGCAGCAATATACAAAGCGTGGTTACAGGCCCCCAGATGGGCTTATCTGGGGCTTGGAGGTTAGTACACAGCCTGAGTTGGGGGCTAGGACCCCAGAGTCATTCCAGGACCCTATAGGCAGACCCTTCAGAGACCCACCCCCATCTCCCAGTCCCAGCCTTGGCTAGGCGTCTCCTGGCTCAGGCCCTAATGTGGCCCTGTTACCCTGGTGCCCGACGGAAATAGGAGGCCGGCAGCCTGCCAGAGTGGGACAGTCCAGCCAAGAGTGAGAGGGGGTGGGGGGGGGTAAGGAATCTCCACCCCCTCCCCTGGGGTTGCCTTGTCTTCTGTCCACAACACCCAGGGTGTCTCCTCCCCAGACCAGCTGGCCAAAACCCCAAAGCCCCCCTCAAAACAAATATGCCCCTAGACCCTGCTGGGATTGCCCTCACCCCAAAGCTGTAGGATTCAAGGCTGTAGGATGTCTCTTGTACAGCACCCAACACACAGACAACAGCCACAGCTAAAAACTGGAGACACTCCATCAAGCCCCCGTGGGCCCCCCACGTTCCTGGAGCTGACAAATGATCCCTCTGCCCCTCCTCAAGGGCACCAGCTGCACTTACACCCCCCTCACTACAGCCCCCAGACACACCTGACAGCTGCAGGAAGTCCTCTCAGGCCCCCTCAGCACACCCCCTCCATCCCCCAGCCATGCCCAGGGAGCCCCTGTTTCTTGCACACTGCTCTCTTGTCCTTATCCAGCTGGTCACCAGCTCTGGGAGTCCCAGCTGGCTGGTGGGGCAGGCAGATGGCGTAAGAGTTTTGGGGAGTTAGCTCCTCAGGCTCTCTTTCCAGATCCTCTCTCAGTGCCTGACCTCCCTTGCAAGGAGGTACCTGAAGAGTCAGCCGTTTCTGGTCTGTCCCTGGTGAGAGGAGGGGGGGACACACTCCAGCAGTCCATCCCTCTTCCCTATCTTCCCTGTCATCCACCACCCCGAGTTTGTAGAGCCAGCCAGATACAGCCTCCCCTTGGTCCAAGTGAATCACCAGTCTGAGGCTGGGGTCACAGATAATGGAAATGATGAGGTCAGGCCACGGTCACACGGGAGCTAACTTTTCCCCCCAAACTCTGGCAGACAATGTCCACAGCTCAGACAGAAAAGACTACTACCCACCTCCCATCAGACACCGCCCTGAAAGGAGACCCAGGGATCTGACCTCAGGGGACAATTTAAGCAGGATTAGTCCCTCTACTGCAAGGTGGGGGCTGCTGGATCAGAACGGCCAGATTAAAAATTCTAGCCACCCCCTGAAAGACGTGCCCCAAATCCATCAGAACCCCATGCCTGGCTGTCCTTTGGATGTCAGGTAAGAACAAGCCTTAGCAGTTTGCTGAGGAATCCAGCTGTGGGAGGCCGTGAGGAAAAGCAAAGCATGGTCAGGGGTCAGCGCTCAGGCCAGCTCTTGGACCCCTTCTCCCAGCCCTGGAAATCAGCCCCCACCTTTCTGCCCCGCTTTGTCCTGTCAGCTACTGCCCTCTGCCGGCCAAGAGAGAAAGTGCTTGATCTCCAAGGAGAAGGGAAGCAGCCCTGTCATAAATACGGTGATTCTATTTTCTAAAGCAAACATTTGGCTTGATTGATATGCATATTCGAAAGGCCAGTAAAGTGGGAATGTCCAAGGCACAGGGACTCAGTGCCCATAAAAGACTAAGCCCAAATCCTAGCAGTGCTTCCAGGGCTCTCACGGGGCACTGAAGAAAGCCCAAAGGGCAGTTTAATTGGGACCCAGAAACACCAAGGCAAATGTCAGCATCAGTAATTCACCACCACTGACTCACCCCACCCTCGCAACCCCCCACCCCAACACCCATTCTTCTTTACCCAGCCCCTAGGATCTGTCCTGGGGCCCAGGAATATAGACACCCCTTACTCCTGAAAGGCTGCTGCAGAGGGCAGGGCTGGGCACCTAGCTTCCCGGCAGATGATGGGGGCTGGGGCCCAGGTACCTCACTATTCCCCTGGCTCCCCCCATTACCTGCTGTACCTCCTCGCCCCCATTCAGGCGCTGATATGCAGATCTCTCCCCCATGGAACCCAAACTCCCCGGGTTAGGGCCAGGGAGGGGAGCAGAGCCCTCCCGCAGCCCCCGCCCCCACAGCGGCACCAGCAGCGTCACTGTCCTGCGTCCTGAGGGGCCGGGCCTCGAGCATCCTCTAGAGGAGGGCA